TTCACACATACATGCACACAAATATGCACATATGTACAGCGGTAATAGGGTAATGCGAGGGATATACAAGTCTTTTAATACTTTTTCCTTTTCTTTTCTGCTTTCATTGTGTGATCTCCTAAAATTTTGCCTACAAGCTTAAGATGTGTAGTTGACGATTTATTGAGGTGCTTAAATGCCCATATTCCATAAAGTGTACCCGGTCGAAAGTGGCAAGCCCACCATTCACTTTAAACGCGTTTCTTCTGTCCTTCCAAAACAACTCAGACGGTGCTTGGAGAGGTTCAGGTGGCCAGGCTACACGGACATTTCTGCCGTACAGTCGCCATTTCTGTACTCTGTTTCCAAGACTACCGAACAGAAGAAGGATTCCATGATTTGTCTGTCCTAGCTCCAGGGTTCCAGTAGGCGACAACATGATGGGTGGACAAGACAGGCGGCAGAATAGATTTATGACTCCTCACCAGGTCAGCTGTACCCCCTTGCCCTGGAAAGAAACTCAAAGCGGATCGATTAACTACTGAACCCGGTCGTCATGGCGCAGGGGACATGGGATATCGTCGGATGGACGAGGGGATTCGAGAAGCGTCGACTTTGGTTGAGCTTTTCTAGTCTCTCTCTGGTTGCTATGTTAGTTCGGTTGACAACCGATATAACTAGTGATGACTAGTGTTAAATAAGCGTCATCTCCTCCCTTCTCGATTTGATGTTGGTACATGATCTGGCCCAAGGTCAATTTAACCCAGTTTTCGGCTAAGAGACATCCATTCCGAGAGTTGTTACCACCTTTAGTTGAGTCTATTTACTCCTCAGGTTAAGTAGAGTACTCATGAGTGCTGATATGATATCCTTTGATTTGGTATTATATGATATATAATTTAATGTTATAATGTTATATCAGTTTATACATTTTTATCCGATTGTGTTTCATCTAAAGTGCTCTGATCTTTTCTGAATTGATCTGATCTGATCTAAGCTTTTATAGAATAATATTTTTACAATTATATTGATATAATATAAAAATTATCAAACCTATTTACATCTTATCTTAGCTTATGATACCTTATCTTATATGATATGATCTGATTTTAAATTATATGATATGAAATATTATAGAATTCTTTAATAAAATCGAATCTAATTAAATCTGATCTGTTCTGATTGTATCTAACTTGATTTAATCTGATCTCGGATGACCTGTTCTAATATCGTCATAGCTTATATGTTTCAAATTTATAAAATATAATATTATCTTATCTTATTTTACATGGTATGACCTGATCTGATCTGATCTTAATTGATGCAATCTAATTAGCCATGCTATGATAAAATGATATGCTTTGATTTGATATGATGTGACATGATTTGTTAGCTTATCGTTTGATAATATATAATCCGATTTTAGCTTATCTAATCCAATCTACTCTGTTCCTGGCTAATCTGATACTATCTGTTATAAAATGATGCGATATATGATATTATGATCTAATATGATGATATCTGAACTTACATGTTCATATCCGATCTGATTTAATTTAATTCAATCATATCTTGTCTGATTTGATCTTCTCTAATATGGCATAATATAATAGGATGTGATATGACATTACATATTATTGTATAAAATAAAATAAAACAAGCTGATTTTACCTAATCTGATGTGAAAAGACGATGCTATCAGATAAGATGAGATGATATCATTTAATATGATATTATATAAGTTTATTCTAAGGGATGGACTATATATGAATTAATATTAAATAATATTAATTGATTTAATTTGATCATTCATAATATTATCTGTTATTCTCTGCTTTGATCTGAAATTATATGATATAATATAATAGGGCTTGATATTACATGATTTGATGTGATATGATTTGGCATACTTAAATGTAATCAAAATTTATCTGATCTGATCCGATTTGATAGTATCCGATTTGCACTGATCTAATATGTTTTGCTACAAAATTGTATGCTATAAAAACCATATGATATGATACAATCTGATCTAATCTGAGTCCATTGGGTTATAATATGATATGAAATATTGGATATTTTTGATTTTATATGATATAATAGGATCTGATCTGACCTGATCTGATCTGATATATGATACGATTTGG